GATTTTAAATTCCCCGCCCACACCCCATGGCCCGGGAAAACCCCGTATAGCCTTAACACTGAGGAAGGGGAGGACCCAAAAAAAAAAAAAAAGTTGTTCTAACTTGTTTCAAGAGCACTTTGTCTTTTTATCTTTTTATTCTCCAACTTCAACCCTTATCCTTTAAGTTTTTGTCTCGTCTTATGTTAGTCAGAGTCACAACAATATCCAAAAGAAGGGTTGTGGAACAAGGACAAGAGGGGCAAAAAACACTCACAAGAAGGCTGTCCAATGCCGCAAAAATATATGGCAACTGGGAGGTTTACAGGACCACCCTCACAGAATATCACAAATCTATGAGGAAAGATAAAAGATGGTCTTGGACAAACTTCTGCCAAGAAATTGATAATACTCTTATGGCAAGTAGGATAAAAAAAAAAAACTTACTAAACAGAAAGACCATGGCATACTGGGTAAACTCAGGGTCAATGGCAAACATACTAGCAATGAGCTGGAAACCCTGAGAGAAGTGGCCATAGCACACTTTCCTGGATGTAAGACTATGGAAAAGGCATGTATAGATACTACACTCCCTAGCTATAGACAGCTAATTCGAGAGGTGTGAACTAAGGCTAGAAAATTTTTTAGGGCAAACAGACTGGAATGGGCAGTAAACACATTCTCTTCTCACAAATCGGCAGGTTTGGATGACATCCTACCAATACTGATTAAAAAAGGACTTTCAATAATTAAACCCTATCTCTTAGAGCTATTAAGAGGCAGAATAGCGTTTGGATACCTTCCTAGAGAATGAAGATGATCCAAACTGTGCAATATTCCAAAACCTGGAAAAGGGACATATGATGATCCTAAGTCATTCAGGCCAATATGCATGTTATTTGTTCGTATGAAAAAATTGGAGAAGATTCTGGACAGCCATATAAGAGAAAAAAATAGTGAATGCTAACTCTTAACATTCCAATCAATTCGAGTACCAACCTGGTAAATCATGCGAAGCTGACTTTAAGGACAAAAAAAAAATCCACTTATCATCAAATAGATTGGTAACATTCTGGATACACGAATTCTTAAAACCAAACTAGGAAACACCGTAATGTGGATCAAACCTGGAGGAGGTTGCTCACAGGGAGGTGTGCTTTCTCCATTACTGTGGTACTTGGTGGTGTACTCCTTGCTCTTAAAACTAAACACTGCAGGCTTTTATGCACAGGGATATATGGATGACATCTTATAGGTGGAAAATATCAGAATGTTCTATCTAAGCTGTTGAAAAATGTGACAGAAGTCTGTAGCACTGACAGTCAACACACTGGCACATATACTGGCAGTATACTAGCTATACGCTATACACTATACGAGCACTGGACAACTATACAACCAGATCTAAGGCTGTTGGGGATTGTGTCAGAATTCTCAATGACTTATCCAGACTTAATAAAGTAAACATTGAATGGGTTCCGGGTCACTCTGGGATACATAGTAATGAGATGGCGGATGAACTAGCTAGACTAGGCTCACAAATGATTCCTATAGCAGAATATCCATACACTGGAGAGACCCAATGAGAGATCAAACATGTCTTTTTTTTTCTTTGAACGAAAATATGTTCATCCCTTAGAGCTCTTCTTCATTTTTTTTTTTCACCCTACCTAGCCATTTCTGGCGTACAGGTTTAGAGCTCTTCATTCATCTCTGAGACGCCACCAGTTCATCAAAATGTCTCAAGTGACTTTAGATAATCTCCATCATAGGCCTTCCTCAAAGAAGGAACCAATTGATTGACTTTCATTGCCAATACCAGCATAGAGGTGGAGGATACCCAAAGAGAACACTTGCCTCATTAATCAAGTTGAGCGGATTACACTCCAGCATCATGTCAGAGTCCCTTTTATGGGTTGACAAAAATTAGTGGACAACCTGGGCATTTGCCTCCAGCCAACCTCAGGAACTCAGCGTAAATACACCGGTGTCTTACGTCAGAAGAAGAAAGAAAAAGTCACAGTTTTAGTCGGCTTAAGGTATCTATTGCAGACATTTTAGATAAGAATAGAAGTGGGGAGAGCATGTGCATAGATAGGTCTCTCCACTGACGAGGTTAGGATAAGTCAATTTTTTACCACGTTACTTACGTAATTTTTTTTTCTCTTTTTTCTCACTTATCAAGATGGTTCTAGGCCCAATTTGTAAACAGACCATAGCAAGAGAAAAAAAAAACAAAAACAATATCATGCACTATCACGTGTCAAGCCATTTTTCACGGAAAATGTCCAAATGCAGACGAGAGTGAATTCGAAGCACTGAGGGCATTACGAAAAAATTGGGTATGTCTGAAATGTGAAAAGGCTCGGAAAAATATCCAACCAACAGATAAGTGTCTTAGCCCCCAAGATCGGCGCCACAACAACAAACTGTCAAGGGCACGTCACAACTGTTACTTGCTGCCATTAAAGATCTAATAGAAGAGGTCAAGGGATTAAAATTTTCCCTCGATGCCAATGCTAACGAGGTGAAAGAATTAAAAATATCTCTCGAAAAGTAAGCTTCTATAACTTTTGAGAATGCGGCAAAATTGGACACTATAGAGTCACTAATGGAGGCACAAAATTCCAAAATCGACGGACTGGTCCTGGAAAACACGACTCTCAAGTCTCGGGTCTCGGAGCTCGAAATCAGGCTCGATAAAAGTGAGCAATTACACTCTTCCAGGTCAATAGAAATAAGAGGAGTCCCAGTGAGATCTAGAGAGACTCCGATGGGCCTGGTGATGAGCGTGGGGCGGGCCTGGGCCTTAGTCTAAAGGTGGAGGACATAGACTATGCAGAACGGATGAGATTCAGGCGAAAAGTTATAAGGGATTTTTCAACACGTCATCTCGGATGGCAAGAAAATGACGCTCATAAGATCTACCTAAGCGAAGCTATGTCCGTAACCAACAGACACTTGTACTGGTTGGCCCGGCAAAAGAGGTCTGCAGGAAAAATCAGGTACAGTTGGTTTAGTGCTGGCAAGGCGAAATGTCGACGAGACGATGGACAGCAGGTCATCGTCATTAACTCACCATCAGACTTAGAAACGTTTGCTTGACATGCATACACATGTTACATTACTTTGAACAATCTTGTTTTTACTTTTTTATATCTTCAGGTATATGTTTTTATTTATGAGAACATTCTAGGTCTGATCTGTTTAGAAATTCTAATTTATGTATTTTTTTCTTTTTCACAATTGGAACATGCTTTTCGTTAACTAAATTTTATATTTTTTGTTTACCATCTTTATTAATATCTAGGAAATCATGCATACTTATTGTTCCTCTCAATAGAGACGTTATCAATAGTTATGGTCTCTGGGCTCATATTGGCTCTAGCTACTGTATAAATATTCCTATTCATAACTCCTTCTGTCCGTTTACCAACCAAGCCACCCCTCCTTCTTCCATGACTAATATCCTTCTAACCTGCCATGTCAACGCTCAGTCACTCCTAGCCCATTTTGATGAATTTTACGACTTTTTTCTCCATAACTTCTACCATTAAATTGCCGTATCCGAAACCTGGTTGAAACCCACAATCCTGTCTGCTTCCTGGATCCTTCTACCTAACTATACACAGACATACAATCTGTATTTATATTTTGTTCTAAAGGGACAACGGTAAAATATTTTTTTATTTCATTTCAAATAGGTGTGGTAGAATCTCCCGACCACCCACTTGTTTTAGTGAATGACTTTGGTGTGTGATGGTTTGCAAAACAATCTATCTTTAGGAGAAAGGATCGTCCACAGAAAATGTACCTGTAAACATTTTTTTATCATAACAATTGTGTATTATAGGACTTATATTATATTCCCCATAATGTTTCTTACGTTTGCAAAGTAATAATAATAATTCTAATAATTTACATATATACAATCTATATCCAGCAAATGCAAGACATACCTCAGGGTAATAAGCGTCTAAGAAGACATATGTAAAGGGACATATTGTTGCCTCCTTCCTTAGGAGGGAGGGGTCTTGTGGACTACCTACTATTATTATGTGAGTTTGGCAAGTGGATTATGGCAACACTGAATTTAAATGGAAGGACGCTAACATAGTGTAGCTTAGGTAAGCATGAAAGTTATGTATGATGTACCTAATGTTAATACTTTAAGTGTAATAAAGTACTCCACCGCTGATCAGTGTTTTATTGTATTGATGAACCCCAGAAAGAACATAAAAATACTGCTGAAAGTTTTTTAAAATAAAAACTCAATTTTTCTTACCATATAATCAAAAGAGATTTAAAAACTAATTACGGTATTGTGGACTACTGTGTCATTCCTACAGTTAAGGTTCTTGTGGTCTGAAACTTATATCATTGAACAAGTAAAATACCCATTCTATTTTCAAACTGAAAATAATTACTTTTCTTCCATATATACATAACGGAAATTACATACTTATTGTTTATATATTATAATTAATTATTACTTTATTACTTTCCTTCCATATTTATATAACCACAATTATATAATCAATGTATTGCAAAAAATAACTCAGTGCACTTCTGGTTGAGGTAAACTTTAACTTATATATTGGTGAATTAAATAATATTTATTTATATAAGAATTAATCAAGCGCATTAAAATAACATATACCCAATTAAATATCAAAAATAGTTCAACTGGGTGTATAATGTTCCGATTTCACAGAGAAAAATTCATCAAATTACCAAGTAGTTTAATTCACTAAAATTTTACAATAAACCAAAAGTTCATTCACTTACATTAGATGAATCAACAACCCTGTCAAAGAAAGTTACTTATAACCTTATTTTTTATTTTTAAGACTAGACTTCTAATCATAACTACGGAATATAAAATCAAAAATAACCATAAGTACAACAATTTAAATTAACTCTAATCAATGAATGCTAAATTAATAACAAAACCCAATATAAATATATATATATATATATATCATAGAGACTAAATTACATATTTAAAAAAAAAAAAATAATAAATTAAAAGCTCTGTACTTGTGAATTTTGTCATTATTGATAAAAAATTCAAACACTGGTCCATGAATGATGTTGTGAAGTTCAGAAAACCTATGGAAAAAATAAAAAATATAAATAGGAATATGCACCTATCCATGCAAATATACACGTACACACTATAAGAGTATACATGCATAATCTTAATAAGTGAAATAATTTATTATTGCACACACATATAGGTATAAAAACATGGCTCTATTCCACAAGTATACATATAATTCAATTAATAGATAAGAAATTGAGAATGTGATGAAATGATGATGCCTTGTCACAGGTAAAATATCAAATTAAATAACAAAATTAAACGATGTTAAGAGTTGAAAAACTTATAATGAAGCTTCTTCTGCTTTGCTGATATAATACCACGATTGTTTAGTAGAGAGAGATTCACGTGTACAAAAATCAGTATTCAGTCAAAACCACAATTAAAAAATTATGAAATTAACTAATTAACATTTATTTTATGTATAAAACACTTAAATAGAATATAAATAAGATCATTGATATGACACAAATAACAGAGAGAGAAGACACCTTGGGTAAGTGGTAATTTCTCATTTGAACAATAAGTCCATTCTCAATAGTTAAATTATTTACAGCCTTGCAAAACATTTATGGACACCTTAGGAAGAAACTAATAAAGTCATTAAACAATGTGAGGACAGGTTGAGGCTGAAAGCCAGAACATGAGATGATGTAAAACCTAAATCTTTCATAGGTCTATACTTCATGTATATAACTAAGGTACATTTTATACACAAGCTGATTTAAAAAAATATAAAACTTCTATTTACGATATGCTAAATTTTCAAAGGAAGGGTGAATTAAATGCAAATATTTTTATTGAAGGAGAAGATAAAAAGTTGCTCCTGACGGAATACCCTACAGGATGAAGATAACTTACACTTTCATGCTTAATATCTCATTCTGACAGGATTCAGAAAAATTAATCAGACAATACAATGAAAAAGTAGATACAGATAATGTAAGTAGATAGCAATGGAAATGCCTAGAAATAACGGTCAGATAATTTAAATTGGTTTGGAGAGTAAGACAATTTAGGAATTATAATAACCAAATGTGAATAATTGAGATGTATAGGTAAAAATATATTTAAAGCATCTGTTATAAATCTTGCAGGCTCAAGTTGACACATAATTTAGGTAATGTTTGAAAAAGATAACTCCTTAACAAAATACCTCTCGAAGCATTGTGTTTTGTATATTATTACATACAGGCTGCTAACATATTTGTCTATCATACAGATATGATGATTCGCATAGTTAATTATGTAGAAAATGTGTGGTTCCAAGGGGAAACTTCAAGGGACCAATCGCTAAGAACTTGTAATGCTGCTAACAAGTTCAGATTTAAAGGAATGTCAGTAGTATTTTGTTCTTTGATTCTTATTCAATCGCTAGAGCTCTCCTACATGATCCTGAAACATTTTTATTAGAATCTGGAATGGGAGGGGAGTATGTACCTCAGCACAGGCGGATTTACAGAGGGGTCTATCGAGCTGAATTCTCCCCAAAATAGTAAAATGTAACCATTTTTTATGGAAAAAACAATAAAAAATTATGTCTTAAAGTATTATTGCTCGTTTAATTACATTTAATAGGACTTCAAGAATCACTTAAACACCATTTCATATAGGTAGTTAGTATCTTTCTGTTTTTCTAAAGTAATTGCCGTTAGATATATGAAAAATAAAGCTTCTGGGCTGAAGCCCCTCCCAAAATTAAATCCTGGATCCGCTAGTGTACCTCAGTAGACTGAAAATGTGTTTGATTGATAGAAGAAGATTTCAGTAACATATAATTGAAAAGGATAACCCTTAGCCTGCATTTGTAATGTGTTTAATCTATACAATGTAAAATATACAATGGTCAACCATCAGTATATAAAAATTTACTATATAAAATCTAAATATCTAAAATACACAATGGTTAACTATCAAGTATTTAAAAATTTAGATAAAATGTCACAATTAAAACAAAATTTAATTTAATGAAGTTCTTTCAATGAAACAGATTGTTTGTGACAGTATGTAGCCCATTAGACTGAAAATCTTTTTGGTTGAGAGAATATCTATAAAAACTATAAGCATAAATAATATTATGTTGATAAGATGAAAATTGGAATGTGTGTTCAATCGATATTTATTTAGTAGGAAGTGAAAATGGTGGGGAAAGAATGGTAACTTTAAAAATAGGCGGGTAATATAATATCCTAAACCATATAATATCTAAATTTACTTAAAAAGGAGGTGAGGTGGACAAGGCAGTGGAGGGACAAGACAACTCCTTCCCAATAGTGGCGCTTTCTGGTGCTATACTTTGTAAATCTTATCAGAAACATTGTGTATAACCTCAACTCAACCAAGATTGGCGGAGGAGTACTACTTGTAAATAATTACCAATGCAGCCACTGGTATAGAAAGATTTTGTCACAATGTCTGTAAATAATGAAATTATGTTATGAATGATCTTTGAGTCGTATCTAATTGCTTCTTTTTATAGTGTTTAGTAGAATTTACGGTTCAGGGAGTTTGAGATTTCTACCCTATACATCACACTTCCTGTAGTCAGATAGATAAAATATGATGTATGTATGGTTTGAACATGATTCTTCATCAGAGACATTCCAGTTTCCAATACATGTGCTGATATTATATGATACTAAAGTAATGTTTAATATACCTGATCTGTCTACTATAGAGGGTAGGTCTTAACAATTTGTTAATTATGTTTCAATTAATAATAAATTCTAAAATTAGCTCACCTCTTAATTTGTTGATTAAGCTGCGCAAACCTCATAGCAAGTGTTGATAACTTGGCTGCTATAATATCGTGTCCATGAGTTCTTCGAGTTCTTTAGTATGAGCTGAATCACCACACAATAGGTATTACTAAATAAGCAGCAACTTATTTATTTATTTTTTGTTAGCTCTGTACAAGCTCTAGGATTTATAGGAACATAAATAATGCTATGTCTAGGAAATCCAGTCCTTTGAGCTTGCTATTAGGTATATTAAGATTCTTGAAGTAAGATTATATCTGTCACAAATAAAATCATCCATGAGGAACTTAATGTACCATATGTTTCCTATTCAGCTCAATCCAGATTCATATCCTTTTATCCACAATAAACTTCTGAACCCTCTTGTTTCCTATCTTGCTTCCTCTTCAATGTCTGATAACCCTCTGAGATGTCTGATAAGAAAATGGCCTCGGGACCTTCTAATATATTAATATAATTGAAGTGTTACAATGGGTAATTTCTCTTCATTTTGTACATGTCATACTAATTACTAATTTCATATTTATTAGTTGTATTTTTCATTTAATATAGTTACAAATTTCAATAAATAAAAAGGAATATATCAATATCTTTACCTCTAATATACTATTATCTACTAAAGACAGCAATAAAGTAGTGTAGATCAGCAGCATTATCACATTAGTCTAGTCTTTAAGATAATCATCGTTTTCTTTAATCTCTGAACTGTGATAGTGATGGGGTTTCTTCACTGGGTTTGCTATAACTGAGCCTACTTTGTTCCTTCACATTGCCAGTCACCTCAAGCCTTCAAGCTCTTCCCTGGCATAAGAGCACAATGCAACAGCATTGATAGATCTCCACATCTGGGACTCAGCCTAAGAGAAAGCCATATTTTGGTTCTCAAGAATCTCCTCTAAGGACAAGTACTGTTGTTAACTCTGGAGGTGATTTAACATCACTCTGCTTAGGCCACATTGACAATCGAGGCTGGTTTCCAAACTACTTGAGAGGCAACTGGGTCAGCAAACACTTGTAAGGAACTTCTCTGACCAATGCTCACTGAAACAAATGCACAATATAACACATAACTTTATTTAATATTTTTTGAAACAATATATAGTAAGGAACACTAATTACATAAACCACATGTTAACATGTTATAACTACATCTAAACAATGCTACAAACACCATCTAATATTACATGATTAATGTGGCCAAATGTCAGCCAATGAGGTATCACTGCTAAATACTGAATTTCGTGTTTGTACATGTTACAGCATAGTATATTAAAACATTAAAAAAAAATTTACTCATATATCTTAAGTAAATAAGCTATTATAATCTCACTAGGATAGACAGCAATATTTTTTATTTGCATTTAGTTTTTTTAAATGTTTGCAATTTATATTCATCGCAGAAGCAGACCTTACACTGTCTGTCAGGAATGAGAGTCTCAAGACTGACTTCAAACATGACGGTCCTCACACACACCAGTAAGGCTGATAAGATATAATTTTAGCTCTGTTGACCTTAAGAAACGGACAATATGGAGCTGGCACATTGTCAATAATTAATGCATTGTTTATCCTTCATAGCATGAAAGACTATAAAAAATAATAACACAGTGAATAGAAATTTCATTGATTTAAGTAAGAAGTTATTTATTTCTCTCCATTTTTATAATAGATATGAACATACCATAATTACACTTTAAAGAATTATTTTGTACCTTTTAACTCCAAAGATGTTTAAATTCCTTAAAGGCATGAAGTCATATTCATATCAATCAATCATAATAAAGTTGAAATCTGTATCTTATAAGTATAGCATCATTTGTCTAAATTTCAGAATGTAATTTTCTTAACTTTATACAGATATTGAGAATAAATACAGAAAGTTTAAAGTACTTTGTGTAATGGAATAAAAGCTCTGTAAAACGAAAAAAAAATCCTTTAACCAGAATAGAATAAATAATAGATCACCTAGTTCTTGATCGAAAATTATGTAAAATTTAAACTGGTTGTTTAATTCACATTCATCAGCGGATCCTTCTAAGGTCTAAAGACTAAAATGTAGATTTATAAAATAGAAAGGTATAAAATATTCAAAGACAAATTAATAAATAGATCATACTATCAAAAGTAATGTACATTACATCAAATAACTTTTTGACAAGGCGGCAACTCAGTCTTACAGAACTCATTAATACCAAAGAGATATAATAGTTCGCGAACCCGTGAGAAAAAGTCGATATTATTGGATGAAAATTTTAAAAGCATTTTTTTAAATATTTATAACATTTACATTTAAAAAATGAGCATGCCAGTCGGATGGCTTGTTACCTTTAAAATTGCGGCTGATTTAAAGAATATTTGACCAGTAAGTTGAGGATCGAAATGAAAATTCATTGCGAAAAATGTGTGAAAAGTTTTTATTTTTTTAACTTGTCTATATGGGTTCAGGCATGTAAAAAACTAAATTGCTAACATCAAGGGTGGCTTTTGATATCCAAAAAAGGCCAATTTTTTTCGATCTTTTTTATTTTCTCATCTATCTAACTTTTAAATGGTGCATCGAAGCGAAAAATGTTCTCTTTGAGAAATTAAAGAACGTCAAATTGTGCGTCGTATGAGTACCTAAACTTAATAATTTAGTCAAGTGGTATGGTGGATAAACACGGTCTACGAACACTGACTTTTACCTAATTCATAAAAAACTGATACAAATTACTATAAATGGTGCTGTACCTTGGAAGTGACTTCTCTGAGAGAAAAAAACTCAGAATAAAAGTTGTAGATCATCAAATTCCCCGACTACCGAGCAACAAAAGTTTTAATGTTGGTCACTTATTCCGCTCAAAATCGGTGGTGAATAGCGATTGCTAGAAATTGATAATGAGATATTAAATATCCCCTTTTCTCCTACCATTCCCTAGCATTCATTCAATACCATTCAAGGAATTCTCTTCCAACCTCCTTACGGTAACCCTCATCCGTGACCTCATTTAAAAATAATTTATTCATCCATCTCATCAGTAATCAATCTTCCGAATATATGTAAAATAAAGTTATTTTGTAGTTTAGAGATGTCAGTTACACTATACGGATATCTTGCAGATATCCATGTACGGATCATATTGCTCATTTGTGAAATACGTGAACTCACCCGTATCTAATCATCTTTAAATTCATATGACTACTTCAAGATCATATGTTTACTACAGTATCTTTGTTTTTAATATTGAGAATTTTTAATATTATTAAAAATTTGCATGCTTTTTTATTTTAATATTAAGATTAGACAACTTTGTAAATTTATTTATTTTTAATTGTTATTTAATTATTCACAATATCCAGACAATTGTCAATTCTCTATTCATTGTAGTTTTTTTGAGGGGACTAAATGTTCCAGAATAAAGTTTACTTTCTTTCTTTCTTTCAAATATCTCGACAATATGGGTGTCTATTCTACTGAGTTACTCTTGTCACTAGCGGATCCAGGATTTAATTTTTGGGGGAGCTTTAGCCCGAAACCCTTTTTTTTCATAAAAATAATGACAATTACTTTGGAAAAACAGAAAGAAACTAACTACCTATACGAAATGGTGCTTAAGTTATTCCTTAAGTACTTTTAAATGTAATTACACGAACAATAATACTTTAAGCGGTATTTTTTTCCCCATAAAACATGGTTATATTTTTCCATTTTGGAGGGGGGGGGGCCTCAGCCCGAAAGCCCCCTCCCCCCCGTAGATCCGCCCGTGACTCTTGTAGTCTACTATATACTGCATAGGACTCTTTTCCAGCTCTCAGCAGCGAAGGATTTTGACAAATGAGATGCGAAAAAAATAATAAAACAAAATAAGAAAGAACTATTTTACATTTAATTTAAATCTTGCGTTACTTTTGGGACACCCTATATTATCTGTATATACTTTTGTATCATATTGTCTGCAAGTGCAATTTTTCTAAATTCTTTCAAAATGATATATCAAGCAAGAAAGTGTAAGTTATCTTGATCCTGTTCTATATTTTCTTAGAAATTCATTTTAACTTCATTTTTATAAAAAACATTTGTAATAGGCTGTTACAAAATCCTTGTGCATAAGTATATCTTTATTTCATATTACATATTTTAAGCATTGAATCCTATTCTTCAAAGTAAAGTCCATTGTTTTCAACTACTTTCATCCATCTTTCCGCCATTAATTGCATTTGATGCCGGTATCACTTGACTTAGAGACAAAGGACTCATCACATTCAATTTTTACAACCTCTAAAATATCAAATATCCGACCACTTAAAAAAAGAGCCATTGATCTAAACAAACCATAATATGAAGGTGCAATATTTGGACTATAAGCAGAATGAGGCAAATCGTTTACTGTTTTCAGAACCGATAAGTATTAACTGTACGATTTTACAATGTTATATTGCAAAATGACTTGGTTCATGTTGACCAAAACGGTGTACTTTGCACTAGAAACTGCATAAACTCATCTAACTATTCACAGTAAAGGTTTGAGTCCATTGCCCGGCCATCAGAAACAAGCTCAAATGCAAAACATATTCGAAGTTCCACTAATCACAAAGTACCAGTTTTTTTTCCAGAACCGATTTGTATTCTCATTTTTGAAAAGACTGAACCAAAGTGCGGCAGTATTTTAATTGATAACTCCTTCCATGGCACTAATTTTTACGGTGGCTGCTTTTGTGCTTAGAGTTTTTTTCGGTAATATGTCAAAAGAATCACGATTTTTTCTTCTGACATTGCACGCCCGTTTTAAAAATGTAAATGACCCCTTTAATCCACTCAAGTCACAAGGAATTAATGGATTAATCAAAGTAAATCTGCCCATTTATTTGATACGGGATGGCGCATGAACCACCCGCCTCTCCCATCCAAAGATATTTGATTGGTGTTCTCATATTAAAAACTGTGCAAGCGAAAGTAAAATTTAAACAGTTGTAGATCATACACAATTACTAGTAAAAAATAAAACCTCAAGACACCAATTTTAGGAAAAATGAACAGAATAAATTTATTAAAGATTTATAAACCTATGAAAGATTTCGGTTTTAAGTTCCATTTTAATTTTATCATACATTGTCTTAATTTTCATCACTTCATGTTTTTATAGCAGATCTCAAAAGCTCTAGAAAACGTTTTTATAGACCGTATTATTATTTTCCACATAAATACTGAAAATTTATGTTTTGTCTTTTTTTTAATTAACATTTTAAAAAATAATTTATTGTGTTCAATAAATATCCTAGTAAAGTGTTATTTTCTTATCTTCTTATGTTACTTGGTGTGGAGATGTATGGCTGCTTCTGGTTAGTGTTGCCCAAACGCAAGACCAAGACCAAGGCGTTCTTGGTCTTGGTCTTGCGAACTTAGTCTTGGTCTTGCCCAAGAGCCTTGCAATTAACTATCAGCTTATTGCTATTTACGAATATGCTACTTTAAATCTTAGAAAAACGCTACAAAATAGTTACAATTAGATGTTTTATTGACATAAACATTGTAAAGTACAACTAAATCAATAAAATTAAGAATAAAGAAAGATAGTGATAACGTTCAACCATCCCTCTGATTAAATGGAATGAAAGAGTAGAGTAAAGACAATTTATATATTGTTCCCAATGATTTTAATTAAAAATCTATTGTGTCCACTTACAAGACTTTCCTATATATTTAAAAAAAAAAAACTTTAAATGCGTCCAGTAGAAAAAAACAATTGAAATAGATTCATTTTCCTAAAAACCGATCAGTGAAATCATTTGGGTACGATTCCTTAGATGAAATAAGCAATGTA